GAGAGAGAGAGAGAGAGAGAGAGAACTTATTCTTACCTCTGTTTGGAGTCTGATCGTCCATCCGTCCACGAGTCCATCCTTCACTCAGATAATAATCCATTAGACGTTCACAGTGAAAACATCTCCTGGGATATTTTTTTTTTCTTTTTTGTTTTGTTTTTATTCCATCAGGTCATTTAAAAACTCATTTTTTTGTTTCCAGGTCCATTTTATGGTCCATCCTGGAGTCCATGTGAGTACAGGTGAGCTGTTTTTACATCCAGAGAGTCCTTGATCTCCGACTGGGACCCCACAGGCTCCAACACGGACTTTAATAATTACCTGTGACACATGTCTGCTCAGTAAGCATATTGGCTATCAGCCCAATACCACGTTATCACAGGGTATGGAAGAATAAAGGTGCCAAAATAATTTCAATTGCATATGTGAAGCTGGCTTTACAATCTTGCTGCATCTAAATACTTTATTTTGAAAAGCTTCTGAGTGTATGTGGTTTAAATTCCCCTTTAATTTTAGTTTCCTTACTGGAAACACAAGTTTTCATAATTTTTCAATAAATTTTAAGAAATAGCCAAGAAATTGTGACTCTTTATGCTTCAGTTTTTTCTAGGGTCACATTATTTCCATTAAAGTGCTAAAATGTAATAAAAATGTATTATCGCTGTTTTACATTCATGCAAGTTAATTTTTTGTTTTCATTTGGCTTTAATTTTATGTGTTGAAATTAAGCAACTTAATATATATGTTAATATATATTAAGTTGCCTATGTTAATATATATATGTATATGTTTTTTAATCAGCAAGTCTTTAATGTTAATTTGAAAGTGCTTAAAATTTTTTCCTTTTGAAAATATTTTTTAATTTATAATTAGAGTGGGGAACAAAAATCACATAAAATCAGAGAGTTTGCCAAATATTTCAACCTTATCATCTGAACAATGAGTTGTGATGTAAAATTTGACATTCATTTTGTCCTTTTTGCGCTGCCATATGCAGCCAATATGTAATAACAGTTGATCAAGTGAGTAAAACTTCAACTCGAATATTTGACTTTTAAATTTTTGTTTGTTTTCTGACTTTGGGTTTTATATTTATGAGAATTTCACTCAATTAAATTTTAGTTTTCTTTGTGTGTGGATTTAATTTGTCATGTTTTAAAATAATTCTGATGGTTTCACAGTTTAAGATTTTTATGTTACAAGCAACTTGTGAAAAACTGAAATGTAAAATTAGATTTGAAACTAATAGAATTTTGGTCTCACGGTGCTTCCACACAATAATCGCACTCTGTATTTTCATGTTTGCTTCAAATGTAAAGTGTTTTTTCTTCTGCTGTCCAAAGCACAAAAATATTGTTAGCAGATATACTGTCACTGTTCCTTAAATAGTTTTATGTATATTATATATATTTATCAGTATTGGTTGAGCTCTAAAACATCAAAAATATTACTAATATTATTCTAATAAGCTGCTAAAGGCGAGGATTTGAGGCTCTTCTGAGATTCTTAGATTTATTTAAAACTAAAATACAGAGTTTAACGTCTTCATGTGAAGCTGGGGGAATTTGTGAGCATTTTAAAGCCTAAAATAACGGAATCACTGCGTGTGTGTGTGTGTGTACGTGTGTGTGTGTGTGTGTGTGTGTGTGTGTGTGTGTGTGTGTGTGTGTGTGTGCTGATGGCAGGTGTTGTGCAGGTGATGTTCAGCGGTGGATTCAGACAACATGGAGGCTTTTCCACAACATGGTGGTTTTGTGGCCTATGCAATATCAGCCCGCGTGTTTTCATTCCTGTGGCAGACAATACAGAAAAGTCTGGAAGGTTGCTATAGAAACTGCATCCACAGAGAGACACGCAGGGCCTCGGCTCGTCCGCACAGCGGCGCTGTTGGATTGGAGAAACTGAGGTTGATTTCATAACGCTCACACAGTCTGCGTGGCAATAACAAGGAGCACGTGCTCGGAGTTTTCCCCACAGAAGCCTGATTGTTTGTTTCTGTTTGTTGTTTGTTGTTTGTTTTAGTAATAACGAACATTCTGATCAAACATGGCGTCAGGGACGGACTTTAAATTTAGATTAACGGCTTTTTCCAACAAGCATCATCTGATCCACCCCGAGCTTTAACAGGTGTGTGTGTGTGTGTGTGTGTGTGTGTGTGTGTGTGTGTGTCACCAGCTCCACTACAGAAACGTTAATAATCAAATGTCTGGATAAAGTGCTGCCGCTGGATCTTTCATCACTTCTAAGCTTCTGTTTGTCCGCTCGTGGCGCGCGTGATGGAAGACGGTTTCGGGGGTAAACGTGGGTCCTCTCCGTGAGTCTTGGATGGCAGAAAAAAGAGCTCTCCGGTGTGCAGTCACAGCAGAGCGCGTGATGCTGCGGCTCAGACGTCGGTGAGTTTGCCGCTGTGGGCTTTGTGCGGGCTGCAGTTGGTGTACTTGATGGAGTCCGCGTCCTCGCTGCCCAGAAACTCGGACTTGGACAGGCTCGACCTGCTGTCGCTCTTCCTGAATTCTCCGAAAGCCGGCTGTTGCTGTCCGCAGGTCACGTGCGTGTACTGGAACTGCTCCTCATGCTCCGTCTCCCGGTGGTAGAAGTAGTTGAAGTTAGACACGATGACGGGCACCGGCAGCGCGATGGTCAGCACGCCGGCGATAGCGCACAAAGAGCCCACGATCTTCCCCCCAATGGTGACCGGGCACATGTCCCCGTAGCCCACCGTCGTCATGGAGACCACAGCCCACCAGAACGCGTCAGGGATGCTGCTGAAGCCCGAGTGCGGGTCGTCGGTCTCCGCGAAGTACACAGCGCTGGAGAAGAGGATGACTCCGATGAAGAGGAAGAAGATAAGCAGTCCGAGCTCGCGCATGCTGGCCTGCAGCGTCTTCCCGAGAATCTGCAGTCCTTTGGAGTGTCTGGACAGTTTGAAGATGCGGAAGACCCGTACCAGGCGGATGACCCTGAGGATGGCCAGCGACATGGCCTGCTGGCCGTTCCCTTGGTGCTCCGCGAGCTCCAGTCCCAGCGTGATGAAGTAGGGCATGATGGCCACGATGTCGATGGTGTTCATGATGTTCTTGAAGAAGGCGGCCTTGCTGGGGCATGCGAGGAACCTAACCAGCAGCTCGAATGAAAACCAGATGATGCAAAGCGTCTCTACGATGAAGAACGGGTCCGTGAAAGGGTTCGGTTTCTTTGCGCGCACTGTTCCGTTCGTTGCCAGGTGCTCGTCAAACGTCCTGGCCTCCTCGCGGAACTCCGGTAACGTCTCCATGCAGAAGATCACGATGGAGATGAGAATGACCAGGACCGAGACGATGGCGATGCCCCTGGCGGGTCCGGAGCTCTCAGGGTACTCGAACAGGAGCCAGACCTGCCGCTGGAACTCGTTCTCGGGCAGCGGGCGCTCCTCCTCCTTAATGAAGCCCTCGTCATCCTTAAAATTCTCGATCACCTCCTCTCCAAGCTCGTAGAACTTGATCTCCTCCATGAAGATGTCCACCGGCACGTTGACGGGTCTCCGGAGCCGGCCCCCGGACTGGTAGTAGTAGAGGATGGCGTCGAAGCTGGGCCGGTTCCGGTCGAAGAAGTACTCGTTCCTCAGCGGGTCGAAGAAGCGCATCCTCTTCCGCGGGTCTCCCAGCAGCGTGGCGGGAAACTGCGCGAGCGTCTTCAGCTGCGTCTCAAAGCGCAGCCCGGAGATGTTGATGACCACGCGTTCGCAGCAGTCCTGGCTGTCCGCGCGCTCCGGCTCGCACGCGTCCTGGGCCGACAGCGCGGCCAGCGCTACGGTCTCGTCCAGGTTCTCCGCGGGAACCACCGTCATGATCCCCGCGCGCTCCTCGGGGCTCTCTGATCCTCCGCCGAGCCTCCGCGTGTCCTTCTGCGCCCCCCGCGCTCACCTGTCCGTCCGCGCGGCGCTATGCTCTGGATTCAGCCGTCACACTCGCAGCATTTTAAGCAGACTTTGCCCTCCCCGAGCTGACGTGTGTGTGTGCACGCTCCGTCACGGAGGGGGAAACAAACACGCGCACATGCTGAACGCGAGAGGGGCACAGAGCTCCGGGAACACCGCAGAGATGCGGGATTCTGAGAGAGTTTGCGTGCGTAACGAACCTGTTGTGTCCTGCGCTGCGCGGGCTCAAGGTTATCACAGGGGCTGCCGTGTATTCCTTGACGTGATGTCACGTTTGAAACAGCGCGCATGCAGTCACAGCGAAGACGTGTGGAGACAAAGGGCGCGAGACTTTTCATGCAAAACGCTCAAATTTCAGGCAAAAAATCCGCTTTTTCATTCAGAATTTGCAGCCGAACGAATACCTGTGGATCCGTGCTTTGTCCTCCTCCCGCCCTCTCACTCCTGTCAGGTGGCGTGAACGGGGAGACACAGACAGGCTCTGCAATGTCACGCTGCAGCCGCTCCACACAAACCCGCGCTGACGTTTCCACAGCAGCTCCCCCATCCACAAGTTGTGCACGACCTGCGAGTCTGTGCTGTGTGTGCATGAAACAACAATAAACAGGAAACAATAACAACAACAACAAAAACAAAGACAACAACAATTATTATTATTATTATTATAATGAGAGAGCAGTGACAGCATGGAAGGTAAACACCGCATGTGCAACAAGTCCAGAGGAGGGTGCGTGTTTGTGTTTGTGTATGTGGGTGAGTGGGGGGGGAATCAGGGAGAGTTTCTGGGCTGCAGCTCAAAGCAGTGACGTGTTTTCCTAAAATAGTTGGATTTCTCCCAGGGCCTCAGGAAAAGTTTCTTTTCCCATGGAATAGCCTGAGGGAGCTGCAGGGGAACATGAAAAAAGAGCTGACATGAAAAGGAAAGAACAGATTTGCAGCAGAGATGAAGACAGCACGTGAGTCATTCAGAAATACAAACAGCAGCTGGGATGAAACCTGGACTAATTCTGACAGCAGGAGAAACACTACATGTCCCCTCACCCAGAAGTCTGCTCCCTTTTTCTTATGCTGCCAAAATGTGAAAACTGTTTTTCCAAAGTGAAGTCACATGTAAAGGGTCAGACTCATGCTGAGAGGAAACACTCAGAACACCCCCCCAGTAGGAAAAATACTCCTGATTACATTTTCTTTGAGGACATTTCCTAAAGTGCTAAACATGTTCATACCGAGAATGATGTAGAAATGAAATTCAGATCCAGCTGCTTGGGGTTAATGAAGGAAAACTGTGCTTCCAGGGAATCTTGAAACTGTGACAACTTGACGTCATGTGATAAAGTATAAATAGCCCGGCCCTTCAGGCTCACTTATGTGATATCAACACATTTTATGCTTTTCTTGTTTAATTTTAATCGTTAAACTGTGAAAAGGTCACAGTGTGGAGCATCCTCTTGGGCATTAAATGACCCACGAGCAGAAAAACAATCACTATTGACCAAAAGGACTTTATGCCTCTGACGCCCGGCTCAGGTCAACTCAGACTTGTTTAATGGGTTTAAAAATGCTCGTTTGTTAATAGTAAAATTCTTCATTTTTCAAAAATTGACAAAAAATAGTCTTTTAAACTCATATTCTTTAATGTGGGGGACTTCTCTGGTTATAAAGAAGATTATATAGAGGTTTATAAGTTAATGAGCCTCCTGCTTACATCATTTCTGCCTAGTTCTGTGGAGAAAGAGTGACGACCACCTGTTGAAGTTCAAATTGAGCACGAGAACAATGGAAAGAGGTGATTTAAGTGACTTGGTTTCAGAAATTGCTGATCTGCTGGGATTTTCCCGGGCCAACAAGGCCACCAGCAGAAGATCACACCAGTGAGTAAGAACGGAAAACTGAGGCTATAATTATCACAGACTAACAAAAAGCGACACTGTAAGATGGCAAAATGCTTACTGCTCTGACAAGTCTCAATGGTCGAGTCAGAGTTTGGTGTGAACAGCACGAATGCATGGATCCGATCCTTAGAGCATCACTGGTGCATGGTGGAATGGGAGATTTTCATCGTTGCTATGTAGCTGACAAGTCTGGATCAATTGTACGATGGTATCATGTTAACATGGACCAAAGTCTCTGAGGAATATTTGCAGCACCGTGATGAATCTGAGCCATGAAGCATTAAAGCAGCTCTGAAGCAAAAAGGAGAACACTGTAATAGCAAGTACAGTGTTGGAGCAGGTAAACCGACATAAATATTTACACTAGCTGCTTTATTAGCATTTTAGTAGTGCATTATTAGCGATTTATTAGAGGCTAGTGTAAATATTTCTGTTTGGTTTCTCACCCTGTGGAAGCTGCACAAGGATCCTCTGCAGTACAAAGTACAGCTGGCTGGACTCAGAAGGCCTTTTTGTTTTATGAAGCAGTGTTTCCAACATTAAATTCTTCTCCGTGCTTCCCCACACGCTCACCTCATTATTCAGGCCCTGATATTCTGACTCATACTGAAGTCCCGACTTCAGCTGCCTGCAGACGACCTCTTCAGTCTGACACTACCTCATTTCCTGTATCCTGTGAGCTCATTGGTGTGATACACTCACACACACTCATACATATAAGTCATGGATTTCTCCTCTCCACATGTTGCTGTGAGGATGTTTTAAACTCACTGTGCTTCTCTGCTGGATTCTCTGGCAGCTCATCAGGTTACTGCAGAACATCTGTCAGGCCATCAGCTCCAAAACACTCCAAAACACTCCTGAATCTCTGTGATGAGGTCATCCCATACAGTCACATGTCACGGTTACAGTCGTGACATAATATCACATTAATTTGACAAATTTCCAACCCTTAGAGTTCAACTCAGGTGGTCAAGTTGTCTTGAGGGGCTTCAGATCAAGACAATCTCATCTTCTGCAAAGTTTAATTTATATTCTGGATGAAGAAAATGTTTTGGGATATAAAATAACTAAAAATCACGATAGTTCTGTTTAGCGCCCCCTGGTGTCTGGATGCTCTTAAACTATACGCTCCAAATATGCTATTTAGTCATTAATCTTATCCAAGAAACATTTTATTTGACTTTTGTTTTAATAACTTGTGGAGATGAAGTGTGGGAACTGAACAGTGTCAGAGATTCATTGTCCTCTTACTATTAACCTGATTATCTATATTAGTTATTGGCTCAGTCACGTGGGCCTAGATGCTGGCTGGCTCCCTGGCAACCACTGGTGTCTAGGGAAAGCTGTGTATTTCCACCTAGTTGGCAACTGGTTGCTGGCATTTGCTTGCAGTGGCTGTGAAATCACCTGCTGTTATTGCTGCAGTTATGCAGATCTAGAGAGTAGTCAGTAACTCGTGTCATTAAAGCATCTGAACAAAACGGGTTAGGCCCCGAAAAGTGCGATGCAAACCAAAAATAGAAAATCTTTAACTTCAAAGTAAAAGTTGCACCTTTTTAACCAAATTGGTTACAACAGTAAGACATGACTTTTACTCTGAAGACGCTTCCAGTTTGCATCACACTTTTCCAGGTTTCACTATCACTCCACGAGAAGTTGGTTAGAAAAAGTTAGCTGGTAGAAAGGTTACCATCTGCCATGTAAACTATGGGTGACTGCAGCAATCTGCTACCAACTAACGCAGAAACAAGAAGGTTTTAGGAGTTGCACCCTCTTTGTGACCACCCGTGTACCTGGCGCCAGACATTAACCACTTGCCAAATATTTGGGGACCACACATTTTTCCATAGTGGCCAGAGGTTGCCAGGAGCCACTGTCCAGTCCCTAGGTGTGACCTTAGCGGGCCATCATCAAAACATTTGAGATACTTACTTTTTGTTCAGATGTTTTTACCACATCAGTTTTCTAAGTTTGAGAAGAGGAGCTCTTGCTGCACGACTCCACTCTTGACCACCTCGGCATGTTTTCCACTATTTGTTAGTTATGAATGGGTCGCTGCAAGCTGACATGCAAATACCACTGAGATTTACTGAGCTCATTAGCGCTGACCAGCTCAGCTCCACCACCCTCTTTGAATGACCACAGAGCGTACAGAGGATTTTTTTTCCCACCCTCAAATTCTTTAGACTGTCACTTTAATGGATGTTGGTGGACGTAAATTCTGAACTCTGCAGTTCTGGATCACTTACGGAGTCTGACATGAAAAATGACAGGAGTCCTTGAGGATGGCGGGCCTCGGAGAGCAGAAACATGTATACTTTGAAACGCTCCAGGAGCATGACAGCTTTTTTAAGATAATATCATCTATGTGAGAGGGAAGTTCTCAGATACTTCACTTCAGTGTATTATGAAAAAATATTATATTTAAAGTAAAAAAAAAACAAAAACAGAACAATGCTAACATCAATGCAGGGCTGTATTTGAGTGTTGTAGCTGATCCAGGAACAGCTTGTTGGAATTAACTTCCAGCTGTTAGATTCCCAAAAATGAACTTCAGGTTACCTCCAAAGGGTCAGGGCATAAGTCTGACAGCTCGCAGCGATTCCACATCTTCAAATATGGCTTTCTGTCAGATGTCACTGCCAACATTCAATTCAATTCAGTTTTATTTATATGGCTCCAAATCACAACAGCAATCACCTCAAGGTGTTTTATATTATAAGGTAAAGACCCTACAATAATACAGAGAAAACTCTAACAATCAGATGGCCCCTATTATCTAGCACTTGCCAACAATGGGAAAGAAGAACTCAGTTTTAACAGGAAGGAACTAGGCTCCGGGAGAACCAGGCTCTGGGAGGAGTGGCCATCTGATGTCACCGTGTGCAATTTTATGACAGCAGTTAATCATCATCAGTCTTATCCAGAAACATTTTCTCCTCCTTCAACCTTTGCTCCTGGAGCTGAAGCTTTATTTTCTGTATGAAGCTGATGATTATAAAACAAACTTCAGTGTCAGAAGGAGGTGGGGCTTTTTGGACACTCTTTTGATGCACATGTTCAAGACTATTGACCCTGAAATGAGAGCAAACTGTTCAGGTGTTGTTCTAGTGTTGGGTGAACTTCATGGGATCTCGTGTTAAAGTTTTAAAGTCTTGCTTTTCATTGAGCTTCATTTGTTATTTCTTTTTAGTTCCTTCACTCTTTCTTTGTCTCAAATCTTCATTTGTGTTTGACTTGAAGGGGTTTTTTTTTTTGTTGTCTTGCAGTAGTTTGACATCCTCTGTCTGCCTCGCATCCCCCACCTCAGTCACCTTCACCTGTCCTCTGGCCCCCAGCTTTGTCTTGTGTTATTATCAGTTTCCTGTGTATAAATAGTCCCATCTTCTCCTTCATCATCCGGTTCATCGTCTTCCCCTTTATTTAATCTCTTTCCTACAACACCTTTTTCAGGCAGTCTTTTCCTTTTCACACATGTATCTGATTGCTAAGGTTGATCCCTCATTTGTTTGTCAGACCGCGGCAGCAAACACAATCAGACAAAGTAAGATTCAGTTCAATTGTATCCGTGCCGAGCGAAAGTCTCTGCTGTAGACATGGATTTATATTTGAGTGTAACATTTCACCAGTTGGGATGTGTCCCACTTTAGGAGGCGTTTCATGTG